GTATTTTCTCGATCAGATCAATCAAGGACTTTTGGCGCGGATCCCACACACAACATGCATATTCCAAAATCGGGCGGAAAAATGAAATATACGCAGTACTTTTTAGGACAGCAGGGGAGGATCTCAGATTTCGTTGAATGAAATTTAGGGCTCTGGCAGCTTTTGCAACTACACCATGCACATGCGCATTCCATGAACAGTCGCTCGTAAGTGTTACACCCAAGTATTTATACATTGATTGATGATCAATGACGTCATCATTCAAAAAGTAACGCGCTTCATCCTTTTTCTTTTTTTTTTAGTAAAAGACACGTGCACACATTTTTTTACATTAGGTTGCATTTTCCACTTATCACTTCATTGCACAATTCTGGTAAGGTCAGTTTGCAATTCAATGCAATCCTGTTCATTTTTTATTTAGCTGTACACGACTTAGTCGTCAGCGAATAAACCTATTCGAGAAGTAATGCCATCAGGAATATCATTAATGTAAACTAAAAATAGTAGCGGCCCTAAAACGGACAATTGAGGGACACCCGATCTTACTTCCACCGTAGATGAAGTAGTACCATTGAGAATGATACATTGTCGACGCTGTGATTGATAACAGGCTATCCAATTCAGTACTTTCTTAGTCAATATTTGCCCTTTAGAGTTTGCAAAGAAGCAAGGGATAGCACACGGTGTCAAACGTCTTTCTGAAATCTAAGAAAACACAGTCTGTTTGACCGTTGTCATCAACCTCGGACACTAAATCATGGTAGAACTCAATCAGCTGTGCTGTGCAAGACAGGCCCCTGGGGAAACCATGTTGATCATCAACTCATAATTTATGTTGAACCAAGTGTTTCATTATGTCTTTATAGAAAATGTGCTCTAGTATTTTGCAGGGAATATATGTTAATGAAATAGGTCTATAATTGTTGGCCTCTTTTTTGGAACTACCCTTGTGAATAGGAGCCCCGCCGCGGTGGTCTAGTGGCTAAGGTACTCGGCTGCTGACCCGCAGGTCGCGGGTTCGAATCCCGGCTGCATTTCCGATGGAGGCGGAAATGTTGTAGGCCCGTGTGGTCAGATTTGGGTGCACGTTAAAGAACCCCAGGTGGTCGAAATTTCCGAAGCCCTCCACTACGGCGTCTCTCATAATCATATGGTGGTTTTGGGACGTTAAACCCCAAATACCAACCTTGTGAATGGGAACCACGAAAGCCATTTTCAGTCCTCAGGCAGAACTCCAGTAGAGATAGATTTTTTGTATATTAGGTAAAGATAAGATGCTATTGGCCAGGCACAGCGCTTCAACACACGTGGGGAAATACTATCTGGACGAGGGGCCTTGGTTTCGTGTATATTGTTTAAAAGGGATGCGATACCACTCACACGGAGTTCAACCGGTGGCATTAATGGCTGAGTTCCCAGAGGTGGCTCTGCCAGCGTAGATAATTTCTCTAAATTCGTTTGAGGTAAAAATACGGAGTGGAAGCAATCATTAAGACACGACGCTTTATCAATATCGCTGGACAAGATCTGATTATCATGAAAAATTTCGTTTACTCCGGTTGAATCAGCTCCACAGTTTCTTTCGTATCTCCAAAAAAGCTTTGGGTTCGTTTTTATACTTTCGTTTAGTCGATTGATGTATTTACCCTTTGCGCTACGAACTTTAGATTTATATTCATTAGTTATCTCGACTAACTTGGTGTACTGATAACTACTATGGGTTCTTTTAAATGCTTTGTATACTCGTCGTCTTTTCCTTATTAATCTAAAAATCGCTGGTGTCACCCATGGCTTGTTGCACTTTTTGAGTTTAACCGCGTTTGTACTTGGCACATACTTTTCCGTTAGTTCTATGACTTTCGCTTTAAATAGAGACCACAGTTGTAAAACATCGGCGCTCTCGCAATGACAATCGAAAACAGTCAAATGAGCAAATAGAGAAATAGCAGAGTAATCACCCTTATCATAAAGTATACCTTCCTCGATTGGCGGGGCTTGGGTCTCTTGATCTCATGTTTAATAATTGCTACAACAGCAAGATTGCTCACTGACACCGGGTATACACGTGACAGAGTCTACAATATTTGGTGAATTGCAAAAAAGCAAATCTAAAATGTTAATATTTCTTGTGGCCAGTAACGTATTGAGTAAGACCGAACGTATCAACGATGTTTTTCATGCTGATGTTTCCGCGACAACCAGTCAAGGCGATACATGTTCTATTATACCACGTCAAATCCGGTAGATTGAAATCACCGGCAAGTATAAACTGATCCGATGTTCTGTAAATTATGTCGTACAGTTGCTGCAACGTATCCGGGTCAGAATTTGGTGGTCGATAAAACGTTCCGGCAATAAATTTTATATATTAGCAAGTGTCACCGTGCTCCAGACCGATTCTACGGTCATCGTGCCCGATATCAAGTTCAGATCACCGTAAGGAAGAGTGAACTAACAAAAATTCCCCTCTGCCTGTTCTTGCCCTATCAATTCGGTAAACGTTAAAGTGGCTAGGAAACACCTCACTATCATTGATTGACGGTATCAGCCATGATTCTGTCCCAAACACTATTTATGCTTTCGTCGATTCAGTTAAGCCCGCGAATTCATCTATTTTATTCACAATACTTCTGCAGTTTACAACAACAGCTGTTAGGTTGCGTGAGGATGAGGCGGTCTTACAAGCAGGGTGTCACTTCTTTAGAGCTGGAACTACCTTTTCTTTTTCTTTGTCCCACGTGAAGGCCTTGCCATCAACAATTAGTTTGTCAAAACTTAGCTTAACCTTGCTACTGCTGTCTGCTAGTTCAGTTTTAGCATAGTTTCACAATCGTTTTCGGATTTCTCGTGTTTCTGCTGCGTAGTCCTTGTCTACACTGTAATCAGACCCTTTGAATTTCTTTTAGCGTTTTTAAGGACATCCATTTTTTTCCTTGTCACAGGAAAAACTAACAACAATTGGCCGGTTGAACTTCTTGTTTAATCGACTGATACGGTGTGCCCTTTGTATTGACGTCAGTTCTATTGCAAGACGAGTTAGACAGATGTCCTTAATCAGTTCCTCAGACTGCTGCCACGTCTCTACCTTGTCATCTTTAATGCCATAAAAGATCAGGTTGGCCCTTCGGCTTCTATTTTCAAGGTCGACGTCTTTTGTTTGCAGTTCCTGAACTTTGTTTTCGAGTCCTTTGACCATGTTTCCATGCTGTTCTACTGTCTCGTTAAGAACTTCAATCTGTCCTTCAGCTTTGCCCAATTTATGATTTATTTCAGAGAGCATAGTTTCATGTTTTGTTAGTTCTTCCTGGATAGTATCCAGTTTCTGCATGATGCTGTTCTGACCTGCCTGCAAACTCTCGAGCAATTCTAGTTCAGTTTAATTCTCTACATCAATTAATTCTCTACATCACCGGAAAGCAACAGTAATAGAATCAAATACAGTACCTGGTTAGCAAACAAACGGAATCTTCTATGGCGAGCACGTTCTTTCACTCGTTTGCTACAACTACAAGCAGAGCATGTCGTCGTGGGAGGAGCCGGCAGTGCACAAAGTAATATACGTACACGAAAAGAGCAGTGTTCACTAACCTGCAGTACCAACATAGGCATTACCTGCATGTCGGCCAGCGTGCCGGCTCCAAATCCCACGAAGGCATGTAGTCGTGCGCTTAAATAAGGTTGCACATGGTCACGTGGCACTTGATACTGGCGAGTCTCCGCCATATCACTTTCAATGCAGACGGTATCGCTGGCGTTCCTGTCGTCGAAGATGGCTGGCAATTCATTGAGGCAGTCTTTTGCAGCCAAGTGGCAGGATGTCGTTTCCGCAGGCGCCTTTGGAAATAAAGGAATCACCGTCCATTGACTGAACGCGTCGAAATTCAATGCAGCTCGGAGAGCGACAAAAGCCTGCAGTACCAACATAGGCATGGTAATGGGTGGCTGGCTTTAAACCACAAAGTCATGATAATCATCTTTTTTGACGCCCATTGACAATGCACGCTTCTTGCACATAATAATACTCCCATATTACATGGTGTAATATGAAGCCCCTATAGAGGACGCGTGTGTTTGGTAAATCGTGGATGTTATCTTCGCGGCATTTCTGACTAGACTGGCTACTTCCAAGTAGATGCTTGACTGTGTGGTATACCCCCAGCTTGCCAAGCAAACGGCCAGAGTTCGATCCTTCTCAAACTCGGATATTTTTTTTATTTCCTTTGCACTTTTCTCGGTTTCTTGGTCTCCGACAAGATGATGATTTTTCGCTCACAGCCACTGACGCCGACAACGATGCCATATTTTTTGTGAAACAGGCTCATTATTGCTATCGCGTCAATACCTTACAAATGTATAGCGTTATGCCTCCGTTACCCGCAGAAAAACGGATATTGGCGTAGTGGGAGCTGTCCTACTTTCCAAAAGTTGTGATTTAGTGCTTAGTCAACACCTTCCACAAATATAAACTTGAAACACAGTTGCTCTTGCGTCAACGTTAAAGTGCATGCAGAATTCGCTGCAGGCGAACATCGACTCTAGAAGAAATTTAGTGGCACATACCTAAGTCTTTCACTGCTTCTTATGCACATTCATGCGCGATTCCCGCAGGCAGACTATACACTCTAACCTTAAGTACGTTACATGCTACTAAATCATACAAATGAATTGTCTCGCTAACTGTTCATTCATTCAAGAGTATATCATTCTATATGAGTATTCGCACATAATCTTTCATTAACTACGAATGACGAGCTTAGCTAGCATTTCCTGCTAAACTCTCCATGCGGCAAAAACGTGACACAGTAATGAGATCATGCGACCGCCTTCAAGTTCGCATGCAAGCAGCGAAACAACGTACGAACATTTCTAGGTGACTTCTGGGAATTGCTACATTAGTTCGCTTATCAACAGCGTCATTTATTTCAGATCACTATTTAGAGCTGGTAGTTTGTTGAAGAATGCATTTCGTGCGACAATGGCACCTCTTGCTTCTCGCACAGGCCACGGAAAAGGAGGTGATTGGCGTGATGCGTGTGTCCATTGTGCTGGTCGGTGCGCTGGCCACCTTCATGGCGCTGACAGCCGAGTCGATCTACGGCCTGTGGTACCTGTCCTCGGACCTGGTCTACGTCATTCTCTTCCCGCAGCTCGTCTGCGTGGTGTACCTGAAGGAGCGTGTCAACACGTACGGCTCCTTCGCCGCCTACGTAGTGGGCTGCGTCTTGCGCGCGGGAGGTGGCGAGTCCATCCTCAAGATACCGCCCTTCATCAAGTACCCCTTCTACGACTATGAGAATAATCAGCAGCTTTTCCCCTTCAGGACCTTCTCGATGGTCCTCAGCTTTGTCACCCTGGTCGTGGTGTCTGGCGCAGCATCGTGCCTCTTCATGTCGGGGCGCTTGCCTTCCGACTGGGACGTGTTCAACTGCTTCCAGCCTGACGCCAAAGCATTGGAAATGACGCCCGCACATGAAAAGACGCCCGCGGCAATGAGCGTGGAGGTGAAGTCATCTGGTGGCGCTGCTATGGCGCCAGCTTCCACCGGCCCCGAAGCAATGGCGACGTCTACGCCGCAGACACAAGCAGCTGTAGTTTCTAAGGAACATGCGTCAGCAGCTCCGAGGTCATCGACACCATCCGGTATGGTCGCTGAATCCATGGCTCCGACGGCGCTTGCCGCCGTTTCTGAGGATAAGACGCAGAGCCACCAATCGTAAGTCGAATCAGCCCACACTAACTTGTATTCGTTCTAAATGTTCTATAGCGTGATCCTCTGCAGCGTATACAAATATAGCATTCATGCTTTAGACACCGCTGGTGATACACGGACCCATGTCTGACTTAATAATGCGGCTTGTTGTAAGCATTCTGAGGACCTTTAAGGGTTGGCATAAATCTAGACGTGATGCTTTTTTTGCTCATTCGGATTTCCATAGAAATATCATCAATAATAGGAAAAGTTTTCGGGACGTTGTATCTTCAACAAATGCGAATTTCTCCTACGTAAGTGCTTAATACTAGTAATCAAGCTACTGACTGCATAGGTCAGATCGCCAAGTGCGGAATAGAAAGTTTATTCCAAAATTACGTTCCTAGACAAAGCGAAAATTTAGCTTTATTGAACCTTTCGCGTACCGCGCAAGTTTGCTGTTGATAGAACACATATAATAGTTTCCACCACAAAACAGGCCACTGCAACACCAAGCATTATAAACTCACAAGAGTCCATTCTGTAAGTGTTTACACCATCGTTCTTATCTTTGGAACATTCTGCGTGGTTTTGTACTCAGAAGTTCATGTTAACATTAAAGCTTTTTTCAGCAGATATAGCAACCGCCTAGATAAATGAACGTCTTTGTTTTCGCTATCATGCTTGATACTTGCGCAGGCTGTCTCATCTCGACGGCTGCAATCCATCAAGCTTGATACATGTAACGTTGCGCGTGAAGGACACACACAAATAAGGAACTATTAAACGCGATACTAAGATCACACGAAGTCACGGGTTATATGATTAATTCACCTAAGGCTAGTTTGATGGTCGGGGATTTAACTGATTTTTAGTGAATGATCACGGTTACGTTTCACAAAAATATTGTAACATATGTTCACGATTGCTCGAACTCACGCTGGGCAAAGGTCGTCCCATCTCATTTCCTTTCTTTAATATAACTCTGAACTCCCTTACGCAAAAGTGATCGATCTCACCGGCCCTACAACACTTAATGCACTCCGATGACACCATTTCTTGGGCCATCACGTGCAACTTAGGCACAATCGAATACACAACCCCAAGAACAAGAAAAACGGTAGAAGAACATGCACGGAGTATCCGCCTTAGATCGTAAATTAGAAGTGCTAATTTTTCTCGAACGTCTCCATATTTTCAAAAAAGAAAAAAAAAACGGCTTCCATTTGATAGTTATAGGAGAAATACGGAGTCGGTGGAGACTCGGTCACAACAGGAATTTGCAATCACCACTGGGCATAGTCTTACTCGTGGTTCCGTACCTGGGTGGGAGGGGAAGGGGACAAGGTTTTGTCTTAGCCACACACCCTGCCCCTACTTTCCGCTGGTCGAGTCCAAAATACGTGCCTCGATCAAATGGAAGAACCAATGAAAATGAAGCGTTGACATCCTTTCTCGCAATGGCCTGCCTTTGGCTCCTAACCTTCCGGGAGTAAATATAAGAGGTAAACGATCACCCCCACCATCGCCAGAAAACAGCGCGACGATAACCCTGCTTCATAAACAATGGCAGTGTACAAGTCCGACTGAGTTAAATTATGGCGCAGACTCCCTCTCTCCTCTTTGGCAATCCGCTTAGATCAGGGTACGTCACTAAACTCATCTCAGCTAGCTGGCAACATTGACGAAACTCAGTTCCACTGGGGTCAGAACAGTGGACGATGGTGAAGGTGAGGGTGGTTGTTTGAGAAATTCACAAGAAACGGTCAACTAACGCAGCCATTTGAAGGGTGGCTTTGCCCATATGCTATATAATGTCGATTCTGAAGGGCAGTTGGCGTCAAATTTTGAAAAGGATATCTAAACTAATTTCCATGTTCTCAAGTAGTGCTTGTTCCGCGGTGATGTTCGAACTCAGTGACCGCATGTGGTGCCTCACGAAAAAAAAAAAAGAATGCTTGAAGCCAGTCCCTTTTTTGTAGTTTACCGAACAAAGCGCTATTAGGCGAGAAAAATGATGTCCTGTACTATTTGACAGTTACAAAATTTTGTCGTACGTGAAGCAGCCGGGCACATTAGAAGGGTCAGTGGGCCACGTGTTTCGGACGCCGGCCTTAGACCATCCTCATGCTGGTCTCCTTAAACAATCAGTGTTTGTGTGTTAAAGGAGGGGGGGGGGGTTCCCCCTGCTCCTACGCCGTGTGCACGCGTGTGCCCACGGAGGAAGGAAAAGGTAAAGAGAGGCCCTGACGTCACTCGTTGTGAAGCCGCGATGAAGCCGGAAGTCGGCCATATTGAGTAGGCAAGTTCTCCTCTCTTGTTTACATATGAATGCGAAGCAGAAGGCGCGACTCCCTCTCCAGCTCGGAAAGCACGTGGGCTGCGCAGCGCGTGTGTCGTGACGATCCGAAACTAATGGAACTGGGCTCATCACTCAGAGCCAGCGGGACACCTTCAGCGAAATCGCTTCGTCCGAGTAATAACAAAGAGTAACAGCTCGCTGACAACGAAGCAACTACGAAAGAACGCGCGCTAGATGCACTGACAACGGCGAGTGCTTTCACGCCATTAATTCAGCAACTGTACAGACAACACGATCGGTCGTGCGCCTTCTACGGTTGCATTCCGTCACGCGACTGACGCAACGTCCTGCCACTGTGTCCGTGTTCCGCGTGAAACTCCCCTGCGTCAGCATTCTGCGACCGTGGTGACTTTGAGCACGGTGCTAGTGACAGTTGAACGTGGTTGCTGTTACGTTGAGATTACATGCAATGCTGGTGGAGAGTGTACCAAGCGTAACAGAAAAGGTGTTTTAATACACACATGCAAGTTGTTACTGTACACACACAACACGAAACTACGTATGTGCACATGGTCCTCACGGCGTCTTGCTGGGCTCAACAGCGTCGCCCGTTGTCACAAGCAGGAGCACTGCTCAACCGTCACTGACCTGCAAGGCGTTCGTCGTCATTCAGCTTCGTCATGGTGCCCAACGCCATTTCGCAGAACACTAACTGCTTCATCCGCGTCATCCGCCGCACGACACATGGATATGCACTTGTTCTACGCACTGTTGAAACCTCGTGATGGACGAAGAGATTTGTAAACGTTGCTAAGAGTAATGTAACAGCCAGACGAACACTGCGTAACCAATAACGCGGCGCAGAGCACAGATATTGTCCGCCACGGCTCAGCACGAGACCTGGGGAGGCACACATTCCGCCGCCAGCCGCGGCCGCTCACTGCTAGACCAGCTTCACTGCGCAACACGTAACCATAACAACGCCGCCATTGTGCCTACTGATTATGGCCGCCATGATGTCATTTCCGCCACATTTTTTACGCCCTGCGCCGGCTGGGCATGCCCTCTCCTTACCTTTTTCCTTCCTCCGTGCGTGTGCCCATATAACCGTCTTCATAGCATTTCTACGCACGGCGACCATATGGCTCTAATCAGCGTGAGCACCGTGGATGCGTGCGTGCAGTTTCGTGGCAGCAGATTTCCGCTATGAAAATGTGTGGTAACGAAGAAGACGTGCATGTCTGAGTTTTGAACAATTTGTGCATTGGCATTCTTTATACACTTTGGTAATTAGGGCAGCGTGGAAAACGACCCATTCTATTGATTCTCATTTATTAAGGAAGGAAACGCACACAACACCGGCAAAGTTAGGCATAATAAGCGCTTACTCATGGCTGGTAGATTTGTAGACAAAAAGCAGCGTATGAAGGCAAACTGAAACCACCTGGGTCGTCGCCAATTTAACGAACTTGTTAAAATGCGAAATAAAATTGTAATAAGACCAGCTGAGTACTGCTAAAGTATTGCTACATGACAGAAAAGATACATAAGATTGACCACCCATAATCAGAACGCTGAAGGAGAGCAGAAGCACGTGTCACCAGCATTCTTACTCAAGAGTGCTTGCGTTATCGCGTTCTATACTTTAAATTCTGAATTATAAAGATTTTCGAAAAACGAGCAAACAACAAGTTTGTACGGCAACGCAGGGATAAAAAGAAATTATAGAAATTGTGCTGTTATTGGCTTCACAAACTTTTCGTTGTCTAAAAGTTGGTTTCTATTACAATGTTAGGTTGCTGTTCGTCCACCTGATAAACTTTCAGAATTCGTGCTGCTGTTCACCACATGCCTCAGAAGAGCCAACTTCCACACAACACAGAATGTAGAAAAAACAAACAAACAAAATAAGCAAGTTCAATAGTATATACGAAATCCATGTGACTTGCGAACGTACAGTAACTTTGGGTGGAATTCACGATGGGTAAGTACCTTGCTGAGATAACAGTGAAAAAATTTGAAAGGTGGTTATTGCTTGCGCATATACTAAACAGCCACACACTGCGATGCATGCAGCTGTCTTTCGACACGGCACAAATGAACAGATTTTTGTAAGCAGTAAGGCGCCACGGCATGTGCGAGTTTGCTTTCAGTGGCATTACCGTGAAGCGAAATTATTTTCTTGGATGCGGGGTAGCTGCAGCGTAGTTTGACAAGCCTTAGTAGCAATTTAGTAGTTCATGTTGTCAGTCCTACGCACCATCTTGCTTTAGTGTTGCAAATTGTTTATACGCTTATCAAGTCTTATTTCGCCCTTATTTTTCGCAAGGTATCAAAATAATGTACTACAGCGTCTGCGCAGTTTTAGTGGACCTTCATTTCGTGTTTTCGTCTTGTGAACCTCACAAAACTGCGAGTATGTGCTTCTTCTGCTGAACTTGTCGGCGTCGTTCGGGCTCTTGTAATCTTTAACAATATAAAACCAACGAGCCCGATTGTAAACATTTGTATTCATTTTCATTGGTTTTCATTATCTGTCGGCTTTCAATGGTAGTCACTCTAACCCCCTAGGTGTTGTCCCTCACTATTAACGAGGCTACGGTATCGACTCAACCAGGCACTTACGAAACATGCGAATGTTTCAGCTAGCTATGTCTAGGAGTTCCCGGAGAGTATTCCGTGAGCATGAGGGAACTTGCTGGGTAATTTTCGGTGCGTTGCATTTAGACCTTGATAAATCAACAAATACAATCTGTTACTTTATTCAGCGTTCGGGATATCAGGAAATACAATCTGCTACTTTATTCAGCGAATACTGACACAATTGCCGTACATAAAGATCTTTTGAAGATACTCGTTATCCCTATTTTCGATAGCAGCGTTTCCCACTGTTGTCGGAAAACGAGTATAGTGACCTAAAAGAGTCGCACAGTTTTTTTTTCTACATTCACCTAATAACCCTGTCACACGGCAAATATAATGTCAATTACGGCGTATGTCATTCGTTTGTAATGTCATTTGTCTGCCATCACACGTGGAAAGTAATGTGATTTGATGAAAATGACATTTTCTGTCGAATGAGTTCCCGAAACACATTCGCATTTGATTTTGACGCCAGGGACCTTTAGGGAGATGACTATTAACTTATGTATACACAACTTTTATCATTTGTAAGATATCGTATTCTATACTAGATCAACCTATTATTTGGTTTGATGATATAATGCACTCAAAAGTTTCTAAAAAAGGCTACTCTCTAACTACAGCGGCTAGACACCACCGATGTGTCATTCATGCTCCGTTGTTATTGTTGTCCTGTATTGCTGGAGGTTGATTGTCTGATTGCACGTGCAGTGGTGACCGAGGTGGTGACAATGCGAAATTGCTGCCGTCGTGCCGGGAAGTTAGCCATGCACCCCGATTCAGTTCACTATACTCACATCCGGTAATATCATCGGTTCTGCTAGTTTGCGAGTGTATCGTACGTGCGAAATCGTGTCAAGCGGCCGCGTTTATTTTCTATACTCGGGGACAACTTTCTGTGGCAATGAAGGGAAGACTACGTGGGTGGAGATACTGCTCCTGTACTCCTCCGTGAAGTAGTCCGATTTGGCTCACGTTTAGAATGACGGCCGCGTTCATGTAATTCCACTGCACACATATTGATACGCCTGCTTACACCGCCATTTGCCAGAGATATTCGACACACGCCCTTTCGGCGAGGTGTCAGAGCAGCTGGAAGGTGACGCGCGCCCACCTAAACATGAAGACGCCATTTTGACAGTGAGGTGCATGTAAACGTGCGACGTTTTCAGACGCGTAGAACGCGAAATGACTCTCCAGAAAGCAACAACAAATAATTGCATCTCCTCGGCACGTGCAGCGTCTCTTCATGAACAGCAGCTAGGACAAAATAATGTTCTTTTTTATTACTTTCACGCGGAAAACACAAATGCGCATTATTGGCACTGTATTGTATAGCGATGACGTGCCAATTTCGGCTGCGTAGCCTTACCTTCATTGCCACAGAAAGCTGTCCTCAAGAAACAACTTTTTCCGCACAAAAATTATTCTTGTGTATACACGCATGTTACATGCAAGTTTTAGTAAGTTTTTGTTTGTACTAAAATCTACACTTCAGGAGGGTTAATGTCATAATCATCAATAAAGTTACATTTTATTTCATCGTGCAACAGTACACAAGTGAAATGACATTAGGTCCGCATAATGCTATTTGTTATAAATGAGATTAATTTGCCGTGTGACAGGCTATAAGACGACGCGAATTATAAAGGCCTCTCTTCTTTTTCTTCTCAATTTGTTGCACTTTCGCCCCGCAGTACCTTCAAGATCGGCCCACCTTTGACCGATCTGCGCTGTTTTGTGATGACGTCACCAAGTGACGTCTAGTTTTGTGGCGTAATGAAGACGCAACGTAATGGTTTGTATCCGCGTTTAACGAAGCTTCTAAGGCGTTTGCCTCAAGAGACAGTTAACACGTATCATGCAAGAGTCTCAGAATTCAGTAGAGTGGTCAATTGTTTTAGATGTGAAGCTTCTTAGGGTCGAGCTCAATCCTGTGTGCGGCGGGAACACCCTTGCTGCACATGCACATCCCTTCCATCTCTCTCCTCTCCTACGCTTCCCTCTCTCTCGCCTCGCAACACCGACGTAGGCAGCGTCTGCTATCAAGTTTTTTGATTGAAAACCCCCTCTGCTTGAGCTGTACAACCGTTCACTAGCCATCCCTTAGATATTGGATTGGATAAACTTTTATTTGGTCCTCCAAAACACAGATCACTGTGTTGCGGGCAGCTCCCACGTGGGGACTGAGATGCCAAGCTCCTCAGCCGCCTCGCGGGCTTGGTGGACAGCCCAGAGCTGATTGTTTATTGCCCGCCATGTAGGGCCGGTGGGTTATTTCTTCTGTGCATTGTTGGACAATAAAAACTCGCAGCGTGCGCGTTAACTAAAAGCGGACTGCGGGTCTCTGTGTCCAATCAGCGTCTTTTATCTCATTGCCCATTAGCAGCGATTGGCATAATTCAGTATTTATCACTGCGGGCTTGGCACCTCCCCGGGTTTCTTTCCGGTGCAACGCCGTGATGAGTGCCAGTGTCGTCGCCACAGACAGTACACATGGTATCTACACATGTTTTCCTTTAGCTGGTAACTGTGTAATTTTTTTTCTTGGGGATCTAGTAAAAGTAAATAATTTAGCAAATGAGTGCGTATGTTCGAGCACGCGTGGCTCGCTCTGACTCGCACGACTCCGAGGTCTTCCGTTATGACACCCTGTTAGGTAAATTAAGTGGTGCGTACAATTTGTTCCGTTCCTGGCCAATGAAGACCGCTTTATGCGTCCTCGCAGCGGTGACGTCACGTTCAAGAGCCACGCGAAACCGCCGACTCCCAAGAACGAGGAGACCAGTGACGTCTCCGGCGTCAAGCGCAAGCGCAGGAAGAGCCGGCGCTCCAGCGAGGGTTCTCGGAAGTCGACTCCCGGCGACGTCTCTAAGCCGCTGGCCACCGAAGCCACCGATGCGGACAAAGCACCCGAAACCGCCAAGAAGCACTGAGCCGCAGCGTGGCGCCGCCGAATTGGTGGCAAGCGGCTCCTCGTTGGGCTGGGCGGTAACGATAAAAAGAAAAAAAAAAAACGCGCTTTTGAAACGCTTTTGACGCGTTCATTGTTATGTGTACTGGGATGTTATGCTACTTTGAGCAATCGTTTGAGACGGGATTTCTCAAAAAGCAAGATACTAGGTACGACGGGCACCATATAAGTGTTAAAAGCGCACAAGTTTACAGTTTAATAGAATAGATACGTTGTATATATCTCAACAATTTAATCAAGTTTTGGTGCTACTTGTAGGGATCAAGCAAGGAAAGTAATGCCCATTTGGAATAAAACGTGAGAGCGGCACCAACTTGAGATGTATGTTGTGCATAAGTTACGGAAGTCAACAAAACGCCCTTTTGCAAATAGATTGACGTGCAGAGCTAATGGGAACGTCCATGTTTTATGCTGATGGCACACTTTGGGAGTCAGTATCTAGAAAATAGTAATCCGAAAAGTTTCTAACTCGCTGGCTACAATTCTTCAGTTGTAGTAATTAGTGCCGCAACTCAAATTATGAAGAGAGTAATAATTTGAGGTGATTTATGAGACAAAGGTGAGATGTCGGCTTTTATGAAGGTCACTGCATCGAATATCATGCCTTTAATCAGATATTTGCCTTTCAGGAAACCCACCAAAATTAGCTTGAAATCCACCGGGTCTACAAAACTAACCTTTTCTTGAGCACCAAGTGCGCATTGTGTAGCTTCGTTAGGTTTTTTAGAAGAAAGGCGTCGTACAAGAAGCGTGAAACGTGCTAAAAGACAATGAGAACTCGCCGCTCTGAGGTTCCTGAAGGACACCGATACCAGAGAAATTTCACCAAGTTTATATATAGCCTTCAGATTCTGAGATTTGCAGACAAGTAGCGTCCCCTGTCGGCTTAATTTTGAGTTGTGCAAAGTCAAACTTCCTTGCACAGTTTGCTGCGCAACCAAATGCAACTGGCGCAGGCCAAACAATGATTGAACTAAATACTAAGTGTTTTTGCGCATTGAACATTCAGATAAAGAGCTACGAATTTCTCTCCACTAGCCGGACGCGTCAGCGAACCGCCGTGACGTGCTTGATGGTTCATTCACCAGATTTACACCGAAAACAAGAGCAGACGCAACGGCTCCGCGTTCTACAGAGACCCCAATCGACGCTAGCGTTGCGTTCTGCCACGGACGCAAAGGACTTCAGTTTTACTTATTTACGTAGGTTTCACGAAGCAGAACGGTGAGAGCGCGGGATATGGACCATTGCGAACGTGTTGGGTAAGCGGGTTATTCGCGTTCTCCGCAGGCCATAGCAGCAGAACGTGTGATAACGTCGCTGTCATGTTACGGGTTTTAGTAGCCTTGACGGAGAACTTTATGAAGCTCTACAGAGCCTCTGACCGTGGTGCGCACTGTGCAACAGCAGACTGGTGACGCGTGCGATAAACATCGCACACTCCGCTACCACCTCTGAGGTGTTGGCACGACAAAGCGTCGCGCACGTAGCTTTGCAGGTTCCAAGTTCCGGCTGCAATACAGGTATATTGTAAAATGTTGGTCGGGACCACAATCGGGTTTTTCTTGCCATTGGTCGCCGGCATGGCTGGACCAATGTCGGAGGTCTCGGTTTTGCCTTACGTTGTACACCGAGAAAGTGGACACGCTTGTCTCCCCATTCGCAGCACGTACAACCACAAGACACATTCTAGAATGCGTAATTGAACAGTTCAACGTGCAAGATGCGAGAGATGAATGGAGAATGCAACTTCAAAGGTGAAAATTGCTGTGGCCATTCGTGGCGGAGGAAGCGAGCTTCGTACCACTGAACGTAAGATAAATTGCTTCTGTATGCACTTCACGTTTGACAACATGTTTATGCCAAAATTTACGCATTTAGGCGCAATAGAACGCATGTCCAAGATCTTGCCTCGAAATTGATGTCAAAAAAATGCTCACTCGCACTTATATTGCAGCACACCGAAATAACCGCGAAACGTCTTTTGCATTGTACCCGCCGTTCGCTTTGACGAGCTTCCTAGTTTTCTGAAGCGAGTTGAATTGAAAAAAGAAGCTTGCCAGGTCCTTGATTTTCAGGAAAACACAGCTCAACAATAACCAAAGAGGATCTATGTGCGTTGGCTTGCGGGACGGTTCTTTGTACTACTTAGGGTAAGTGTGGGGATGAGAACGCTGGTGGCGGTGTTATTTGCAGGGCCGCCTAGGCAGAGTCTGACGTTTATGCAGCATTACTCGTTTTTGCGGACCACCGGTGTTCCTTTTCCAGATTCACAGTAAAAATAAAAAGGCCAATCCACACGGGAAGTATAATGCGCGTTTCATGGTCAATTTCACTGGAGCGGCCACCGAAATCCTGGAGCGAGCACTGAGATTAGGACAAAACAGATTTGTGAGTGGGTGCCCTGCCTGAGGTGCACGCCGGAAGTTGTTTGCACGTATATCTCTAACCAGTAGCGGCAACTTTCTCGACATAGCCGATTATTTTCGGCTATAGTGCCGAGACTTCGGCCATTCGCATGGCGGGGAAGCACGGTATGGCTCGTCGTCCTGCTGGTACTCCAGCAGAACCATAGGGTTCTCGCTGTCGATCAAACGAGAAGCAAACCAGCGGCAGCACGTCCCGCAGCTGAAGGAAACAATGCTGCCAGACTGTAGCGAAAATGATGGCACCACAATCTTGAAGTTCCAGCGAAATCCGTCTCTGCAAGACGGAGCACGCGTAACGCTCCGTCACGTGGTGGGTTGCTGCGAATCTGCCAGTGGAACACGCGAACTTCCTCGGAATTTACCAGCGGAATGCCGATTTTCGGCAGCGAAGCAAGAAAACTTGCTCCCGCTGGACGAGTGGAATTCGCCATAAATTAGGTGTGAGCGGTGATATTAAGCTTCAGTGCCTAATAAACAGCTAAAATCCTCTGTTTAGAAACTTTTTGTGGCTACCGTAGAACAGCTATTCTTCTAGTTACGTGCTTATCGAGGTGCTATTTTCTGTCGCTCACAGCATGTGGTAGTCGCCTGTGATTTAGATTGAAGCTTTGACTCCCGATAGAAGGTATTTTTACGACCAACGTATGTCATGCGTATGCGACGCCTATTTTCCACACACATCTGGCGACTCTTATTGATACCATTTTTTGTGCCAATAAAAACTATCTACGTGGCTTCTGGATCGTCCTTGATGCTTTGGTGCTTAATAATACTTGTTTCCCTTTTTAGTATCCAAATACTTAAGCTAGTATGCACAGAAGTAGAGTTCACCCCACCACCGCGCTCACGCAGGCTGCCTTCAACTAAAATGAAGCATCGACTCGAGAGGTTTTCAATTAAATTGCTCATATCGGTGTTACACTATGCGACTTAACCAGGAAAGTGGAGTCTATAGACGCCAGTTGGTACGTCGTGCCATAAAGTGTAAGGAATTCAGCTTGTCGATGTCTTGTCCGACGTGCTTCGAGGGGACTTTAAAAAAGGTGTGATTTAAGAGATAAACAATTATTTTTGAGTAAGCATATGAATGTCAGCCTGAGAATTTTCCGCCTTAGTTGTAACGTTAAAATGTTATATGTTATCGTTAACTTTCTGGGGGAGTCGGCTAAACGGTTTACTTAGCGTGGACAAAAATTAGCATAGGATTGATTGACATGTGGGGTTTAACGTAACAAAACCATCGTGTGAATATGAGAGACCCCATAGTGGAGGACTCCGAAAATTTTGACCACCTGGAGTTCTTTAACGTGCGCCCAAATCTGAGCACACGGGTCTACAGCATTTTCGCCTCCATCGAAAATGCAGCCGTCGTAGCCGGGATTCGATGCCGCGACCTGCGGGTCAGGAGCCGAGAACCTTAGCCACTAGACCACCATGGCGGGGCAAATTAATATCACAGGGCAAGATGGTCTGACGTATATGATGCGCTGGTAGTGACATAAATAATGTGACAATCCCGCCTAGTACGCCGTCAGACATATCGCGATGGACAGAGACACATACCCGCGGGACAATTTGTGTCACTGCCATTCGGGTATGTGCCACAGGTATGTGCCACAGGTATGTGGCAAGGTATGTGCCACAGGTGCCACAGGTATGTGCCACAGGTGACTTATTTATCTAGCCAGGAAAGACGAGAACAATGCATAGAATAATTGCCAAGGGCTCCGCAGGGATTGAACCCTAGCATTCTGCTTGAAAATAAAGCATACTACTACATAGCAACGCTATATTGGAAAAAATCTTTTCAAACAAGTATACTGAAATGTTCGTGAAACGTTACCTGTGGTTGAAGTGCTGGCCGTGATATATTTATAAACAATGCATATGCACTCCTATGATACAGCCGTCATGTAATGTTAATGCTAATTGTAGTGAAGTGCCATGCTCTGAATTTGATTTATGTAGCAGTGTCCAGGACTACTAACCTCACAAGCACCAGCGCTTCATATCAGGTTATCGCTTCTGGTGTTGGTAATAGTCATGTACCTGTTGGCACCATTGCTCAAGTGCAAACAAGCGGTTATATAAACATCTGCAACTGTTAAACACGTGTCTTTGCGTGCAACATTTGTACATTTTTTAGCGGCCTTTCATAAACTCTCACTCAATGAAGAAATACTAATCAACGTTGATTCCCAAGGTATGTGGGTTGTGCATAATTTTTTTTACTTCGTATCGAGCAAGATGCGAGATAAGCTGCCTCCATTTCGTTTGGGTTCATGTTATCGCCGTTCTCGCATCGTGCCAGTGCCAATCCTGAACAACGCTAGGCGTTTTTACAGCGAAAACTGTTATGAGATCACAATAACGGTCACGTGCGCCGTAGTTGTCAGCCTGCACCGCTGGTGTTTGTGTGTTTGCAAACTCTAAACGCTTGAGATAAGGAAAGAAACTAAGGAAATGAAAAACATGAAGAACACAATGAGATTAGAACCCGGGTTTCTTGCGTTGCAGCTTAGTATTCTACCAC